TAAACGAAAGAAGTACACGGTAAAGTGTTCAAGATAAACCTCATTTACTGTATAATGGTCGCTAAAATGATCAACTCGCAGGCTTTTGTTCAAAGTGAGCCAAAGAGGTGAACACAACATTATTCAGAAATATTCACTCAGCATGTGATGTTCAATGAGGTGCAACTCGAAAGCTTTTATTCAAAGTGAGCAAAAAAGGTCAGCAGAACATTCCTTAAAAATATGCATTTGTTATGTAATATTTGAGGAGATGATCCACTCGCAAGCTTTTCGTCAAAGTGAGCAAAAGAGGTGAACAGAACATTGGTTAGAAATATTAATTTATCATGTGATGTTCAATGAGGTGATCAACTTGCAAGGTTTTCTTCTAAGTGAGCAAAAGACATGAACAGAACGTTGGTTAGAAATATTCATTTGCCATGTAGTGTTCTATGAGATGATCGACTCGCAAGCTTTTCTTCAAAGTGAGCAAAACACGTGAACATAACATTCCTTATAAATATTTATTTGTTATGTGATGTTCAATGAGGTGATGAATTAGTAAGCTTTTCTACAAAGTGAGCAGAACAGGTGAGCAGAACAGGTGAGCAGAAATATTAATTTATCATGTGATGTTCGATGAGGTGATCTACTTTCAAGCTCTTTTTCAAAGTGCGCAAAATAGGTGAACAGAACGTTGGTTAGAAATATTCATTTGTCATGTGATGTTTGATGAGGTGATCACCTCGCCAGTATTTCTTCAAAGTGAGCGAAAGAGATGAACAGAATAGTTGTGAGAAATACCCATTTATCATGTGATGTTCGATGAGGTGATCTATTGACAAGTATTTCATCACAGTGAGCAAAAGAGGTGAACAGAACATTGATTAGAAAGATTCATTTGTTATGTGATGCTCGATGAGGTGATCAACTCGAAAGCTTTTCTTCAAAATGAGCAAAACAGGTGAACAGAACAATCTTGAGTAATATTAATTTGTCATGTGTTGTTCGATGAGGTGATCAACTCGCAAACTTTCTCTTCAAAGTGGGTAAAACAAGTGAACAGAAGAATCTTGAGAAATACTGGTTTGTCATGTGATGTTCGATGATGTGATCAACTCGCAAACTTTCTCTTCAAAGTGGGTAAAACAGGTGAACTGAACAGTTATAAGAAATAGTCATTTGTCATGTAATGTCTGATGAGGTGATCAATTTCAAAGCTTTTCTTCAAAGTGGGTGAAACAGATGAATAGAACAGTTGTGAGAAATACCCATTTATCATGTGATGTTGGATGAGGCGATCAACTCGCAAACTTTCTCTTCAAAGTGAGTAAAAGAGGTGAACTGAACAGTTATGAGAAATATCCATTTGTCATGTAATGTTTGATGAGGTGATCAACTCCAAACCGTTTCTTCAAAATGAACAAAACAGGTGAACTGAACAGTTCTGAGAAATATCCATTTATCATGTGATCTTCGATGAAGTAATCAACTCGCAAACTTTCTCTTCAAAGTGGGTAAAACAGGTGAACTGAACAGTGCTGAGAAATATCCATTTGTCATGTGATGTCTGATGAGGTGATCAACTCCAAAGCTTTTCTTAAAAGTTAGTAAAACAGGTGAACAAAACAGTAATGAGGGATATTCATTTGTCATGGGTTGCTCGGTGAGATGATCAAGTCGAAAGCCTTTCTTCAAAGTAAGCAAAACAGGTGAACAGAACATTGATTAAAACATTGATTTGTCATTTAATATTCGATGAGACGATTAATTGGGAAGCTTTTCTTGAATGTGAGCAGAAAAGGTGAACAGAACATTTCTCAGAAATATTCATCTGTCTTGTGGTATTTGAGGGGAGAATCAAGTGGCAAGCTTGGCTTTGACCTGTGTAAAATATATGAAAAGAAGTTTCCTTGAGCACATTCACTGATTCTGGAGTATAAATTATTACAGGCAGTTCTACATCAATAGATTATATTAATATATTTTGTGAACAATCTCTTCTATGTAAATGTTATGACAATTGTTATTTTGGCGAGAAACATTGAAATTTTGACGCTTGATTATTTTGGTAAAAAGAACATGAAGTGTGAAATGATATTAAAAAAGTTCAAGAGAGCTAATCAAGAAGAGTTTGCTTTTTAACTCCTTTGCTAATTCCGACGAATCTATTGTTTTAAGAATAAAAAGCTTTTACTGTCAAAACCACTATAACGTGAATATATAGTTTTTGAAAGATGAAAAGATTTCAAGTTTCACTTGTTTCTCGTTCTAGTTGAAATGTAAAAAACCCATTGAAATTTTATCCGTCTAAGTTTCTTTGAATATAATCAATATTTGAGTAAAAGGCTAGAGTCAAGCTGTTCAGCATGCTAGATACTGAATCATTTCACTTGAAGACGCCTGTTTATAAATTCTTTTGTTCGTATTTGATCATAAGAAAGTACTATATTCTGATAATGAATGTTGAAATAGATCGAATTTTAAATTTGAAAGATGAAGGGACGCACTATCGAAATCCCATTGAAAGCTTTTATTGATATTCTTACAGAAATTTTGGTAGTATAGAAAATACTCAAAATGGATAGGTACAGAAGAATAATAACAAGAAAAGAGAGAACAATATTTAAAAAAAGAATATTTTAAACTAATAAATTTCAGAACTATATCATCGAATGATAGGTGATCGTAATTACAGTTTGTGATATCAACTAATCAAGCTTACATCTCTATTCAAGCTATTTCATTACATTGTAGAAGCAATAGAGTCTATTATCAGCAGATATATAGTCTTGCAATGTTATCTACAATTCTTCATAGCATGTAGTACATTGGGCACTGGCATTATCAACGCATATATAAAATATATTATTCTTTATAATTTACATTGTTGTCTCTTATTGTTTAATTAAAATATCTCAAATTTAACAACAATCTATGCGTTAGTCTCGATAATCTCAGTTCTATCAATTTAACTTATTCATCCAGTAGCACTACAATTACCTAACTCACTTGATCTTCTATGAGTGGTAGCAGTTTTCAGAATTTCCAGCTAAATAAATATATATGGTATAGATGTGTACCATTTGATATACAGACACTCAAGTCAAAAGCAACGTGTAATCTTTTCTACACCACGAATACGCTATTTTTAATAGTTTTTCATAGTCTGTCCTAACTAAGCAAGACTTAAAAAAAATTCTACTCCGATGCCGTTAGAAAGAGTGTCGTTGACTCTATCGAACCATACTATTTTGATTTTATTTGCTATGGTTCTACTACAAAAAACTGCAAAGTTATAAACAGGTGCTTTAAAACTTTTTTTCAAAGATAGATATTAAAGCGTAATTGTCTGCATTTTGTAGATTAATAACACATCGTTTGATATACTATATTACAAACAAAGTTTACCACAATATGCGCTGTGAATAACTCTACAATTTACATAAGATCATATCCTTTATTTACACTCTTTTGGTTCCCAAACGGAGAAATACCGAACCAACGAAATATTAAGTGTATCAATATTATTCTCACATCATTCATTCGATCTATTTCAAACCAGTGACAACAGAATTTCTAGTGTATTTTCAAGAGCTTTTCATACTGTTTCTCTCTGGTGCACTTCACTTTTGTTTCTGAAAACATACTCAGGTGATAAAAACATTGAATTATGACAAAATATCTCTATTTTGCGTACAAAAGGGATGGGTGTGTGTATTTTTCTCAGTCATTACCAACACCCTTCAGGTACAGCTCTTTGAACAATATTACATTTTTTGTTCTTCACCATTACTGTAATTTCTTGTCTAAAAATTTTTTGTTGAACTAGCTCAGTTGCATAAGCAGGACGGGACACTAAATGGTCGCCCACCGTTCTCAGATCCCGTACTAAAGTGGCACTCACAGTGAGTTTATCCAGCGCTCCCGAACATCGATACACTGATGTTCAAGGGAGTTAGTTCAAAAAAGTGAAGACAATTTGTCGATGAGGCCTGATATGTCTAGAACGACTAATGAATCGAACTCATCATGCATAAACCTGTCAGATTCAACTACCTAATCCATTTTTAGAAGTTCGTTGCATATTCTGAAAAGAAGAAATTACTGAAACAAGGTATGTCGCCTGCAAATTAAACCATAGAGTATTACAGGATGTCAAGATCCAAAACACAAAGAAATTGATAGTCAACAGCGAAGAAGTTAGCGAAGATGAATTTATTTTCGGATAAAATGAAGAAATGTTTTTCGGAGGGGATACTCAGAACTATGAATGAAATTGAGTTGAGGGTTACTCATCTATTTCAATTACACTTTAACTAGATGCGAAAAATTTCAGTTTCTGAAGCGTATCGATTTTTTTCGAGATTTTCGTTTCAGCTTTGGTTTCGACAGTTTTTTGTTCGGATTTTTCAAATTCAGTTGTTTTAGGTCAGAGACAAGATTATCATCACGATCGGATACAATGGCTGAACTGGAACGATATCCCGATCTTGATCTTGATCTCGATCCCGAACTAGAAGGAAATCTGGTCAGCGAAGTTTTTCGTGATTTTCTCAACCTTTCCTGTGCTTTTTCGCATCTCATGATCTGTTCGCGAACACTGTTGATCATGTCATTGTCTTGTGGATGGATACTTTCATATACCGCCAAAGCTTCATAGAAGTGATTGAGTGCTACTGTGTAATAACGCATCTCATAATGAATTGTTCCAATGCACACAAGCAATCGACCAACGTTGCGATGATTTACTGGATGGATTTTTTTCTCGTATTCTAACTGTTGTTGTCGATAATTTAGACTCTCATCGAATTCGCCTCGAAGTTGATAGATATGACTAATGTATTCCAGCGATTCAGTAGTGATTGAATTATTCGCTGGCACGAGATTTGTTACTATTGCTAATGCACGTTGACACGCTCGCAAGGCTTTGTTGATGGAAGGTTTATCGAGCAGCAAACTAACGATGCGTAAGAGAGTATTCACAAATCGAGGATGATTTTCACCATAGAGTTCCTGATACATGGCTAGCTTTTCTTGACAGAATTTCAAACCTTGATCATATGCATGCATTGCTCGATACGTATCAACTATTCGAGATAAATCATTAAAAACATGACCATGATTTGACGGCAGACATAGTTCATCCATTTCGAGTTCTCGATGAAGGTTTTCCAGTGCACAATCAAATTGTTTCATGTATCGATACGAATTACCGATATGTCCTAGACATTGAGCAATTTGTGGATGTTGCGAAGGCAATATACGTTTGAAAATTTCCAGCGCGTCTTCGAACCAGACCAGAGCAGTTTCCCATTGAGTTTTGCCTTGAAAAGTCAAAGCTATTTCTTCAAAAGTCATGGCTACACAAATATGATCAGTCAAATAGTTTCGTTCGTTGATTTTCATCGCTTCCCGAAAATAGAAAAGAGCCTGATCAAAATCACCCATAGCTCGATACGTATTGCCGAAATTTCGTAACGAAGTAGCGATGCGAGGATGAAGAACTGACAATTTGTCTTGCCGAATTTTGTAGGCTTGTTCGTACTCTTGCAATGCTAACCGATAATCGCCTCGTTTGGTATGTATATGACCGAGACCAATTTTCAATGCAGCAATATCTACATGGTCAGATGGAAGTGTTTTAAGAAGAACTCGGAAGTATTTCTCAGCCTGTTCCACCTGTCCAAGTTCGTGCAGAAGAAGACTACCGAAGTAGATCATCGGGCTCGTATCTTTCATTTCATCTTCGGCTAATTGCAAATACTCTTGAACACGCTCCCATCCGTCGTCTGTGCTCTTCAGTTGCACTTTCCAGAGACTTAACTTAGCATCAAACACAATCGAATCAATGTGAAATGTTGCACCGAGGGAGAAGAGCACTTCTTGTTCTTCCGTAAACTCACTGATTTGATGAATATCTGCTAGAGTGATTGATCGTAACGATGGATCAGCTTGGATTTCGAATAGGACAGCTGTCATTTCGTCCGAACTTTCTCCGGCGTAAATAATCGAAACTTCTTTTTCTCGTGATGCCGAGAAGAATCCATTAGCCGCAATGAGTTTACCAATACTTTGTTGTAGTTTCGTGAATTCTTCATTAGGAATTTGTTGTCCGCGATAAACTGTTAAAGCGCCCTTATCTTTCGATTTCAAGCTTTCTGTCTCCACCTGGGCGCACAGATCGATAATGAAATATCGAAAAGCATAGATCAATTCGATATTCTGCGTTCGAAACGCTTTATTGAGTAATCGATATATGAATGAGTCCATCGTATACCAGTAAATCGCTTCATCGGATGAGTATGACAACTGAAATCGTTCGATATTAACTAGTTCTTTTTTACTATGTTGATAGTAATCGAGACAGTTTTTCAGCATATCATTTTTCGCATGCTCATCGTTTACCATCTGCCGAAGAGCATGAATAAGAAGTTGATGCCACATGAAGGCAGCACCTTCTCGAGACAAATCTGTCGTTGATTTTTGTTTTTGATTGAATAGATTAAACACATAAGATTGTTTCTCCAAACGATGCATCGTCTTTTGAATGGATTTCAGTAGACTCTTATGATTCGTAAAGATGCCTATGATTTTGGGCTGTTGATCGGCGATATCATGGTATTTCGATCGATTTTGACAAAAAATAAATATTGCGCGAATAGAACGTATGCTAGCTAGTTTGACTAGACCTTGGTTTGTATATGCACCGGAAATGATGAACAAAATTTTCTTCTCGTGTGTTCGTTGGATAAAATTCTCACACATTTCCAAGTTCTGATAGAACTGCGCTGCTGAGTTCAGTTCTGATAGGAGTGTTCGGGTGGTAAGAGAATCTGAGCTACCATCGATTCGGGCATCGAGCCAAACTATTTGAAAATCTTCTGTGTTTTCTAGTAGTTCAGCTCGATATGAATGTTGATTACTACTAGTATCTGAGACATAAGACAATCGTCGAAGCATCATTGATCTAGAAGAAATAACTTCGGATTCACAACGGTTTCAGAATATGTAACCTCTGTTGGTTCCTAATGAGTGTGAATATCTTGATTTGTTAATCGTAGATCTTACCGGCATTTCAACTGACTATTGGCGGATGAATAGTTGCGTTGAATATTCTATAGTCTACTACCTTTAAAATAATATGCTGCATCCCTTTCTTCTCCTACTTGAAGGCAAAACATTTCTTCCAATATAAACTTCACTTCAAAACAACCCTTCGTTACAAAAGTCGAGCTAAGTATTTACTTAGGTAACAGAGAATATTTTTATTGCGTTCTTTCCACCAAAAAAAAGTTTTACGATAGTTACTAGTCACTTACGTATACGTTCGTATAGATGAGTCATCGCTAAGACAACTAAACACGTTGATATCATTACGAACATGAAAGCAAAGAATGAAACTCAGAAAAAATTACCAAGTCGACTTCAAGATTGTCCATTCGTCTCTTTAGATATTTGTAGGACAACCCAGGCGACCCTAACTGTCTCTCAACTGATCAGGTTTTACTCAGAAATATGATTGCTTCATCCATAGTGTACGTGTGAGTAAGGATTGAACAAAAGATATCCTTATCCACACCCACACCCTCGATATCTTTTGTAGAGGATATTAAGTAGAACAAGATACATGCACACAAATTAATTTCTTGAATAAAAAAAATGAAATATTTCGAAAAGTATGTTTCATCAATGTGCTTCTTCAAGCAGTCTTGCCGTAATATGAAATTGCCCATCAGTTGAATGTTGTGTTTTTATGCTGTTCAAGTCCGTATTGCTTGGCAATGTGATTCTCTTGTAAAAGGAAGCCCGTGAGGAAGAAGGCTGTGGATTATTATTTTGTTGTTCGGCTTGGATGATTAAATCGTTGCCATCTACTGAGAATTGAATTGTGTTTGGTTCGTAGCTAGGAAGATCGATTTTCATTTCAATTTCACGATGATCGTCATTATCGGTGAATATCTGCGGCCGAAAGCTGTACCGGTAGAAAGCAACCGGATAGAATGGACCATAATACAAGGATCCATTAATATCACGATCAAGTCGTCGTGAATATTCGCGTATTTCACTGTTGTTCGATGATGATGGTTGATACATTGCGAGAGACTACTAACACTTATTTTTTTTGAATTTATTAGCTGTATTTTGATATCTTATGTCATCCACACTGTAGGCATGTATACATGTACTGAGGGATTATGTGAGATTTATCACAAAGTGCAAACGATTTTTTGAAAAAAATATCATTAAATCCACTAAAAAATAAATCTCGTTGGCTGCTGCATTTATACAGAGGGCGAAAGAAAATATTGACATGTTAAGCTGTCGATACACAGTAGCTAACAAGACTCTTTTTTTGAGATAATTTCATACAATTTCTCTGTAGGTGTATACGTATCTCAGATAGAGGGTGTGGGTGTGAATACAAATATCTTTTCTATATCCCACACTTACATTTACATCCACGTCTACTTTAAATATTGACAGACATGATATCTTACACACAAGATGTGCAGTGTAGTCACTTTCATAATTTACTACAAATGACAATTTAACTTGTGCTCCGATATATATAGGAATATTATAATAGTAACATTGTATTTAAGTTTAATGAAAAGATTTTTATAATTAATGTTCACGCTTCTAATCTTTGCGTTAATTAATTCAATTCTGCATTCTTTTCCAGTATTTTTCTGATAGATCGCTGAACATCTTCAACAATTCGATTGCTTCCAAGATCTAATGTAGTAAGTGTCTAAACAAAACAACGAATAAATGATTATATTATAATAATAAGAGCTATACAAAAAAATATAGTACATTATTTTTTTGAAGACCATATGCTAAATAGTGTCCTCCTCGATCAGTAATTTGATTGTTGTTCAAGTAGAGTGCAATAAGTGTCTATAAA